AACATGAAACAGATCAGCAGCAACATGAAACAGATCAGCAGCAACATAATACTATCTAAAAGTTAAAAGTAACAGAATGATAACTAAAAGCTAATACAAAAAGAAAAGCTAAAGTAGTAAAATGCTATCTAAAAGCTAAATTTACCAAAACGCAAAGTAAATGCTAAAAGTACAATAGTAGCTTAAAACTAAAATGAACAAAAGGCTTGCTGTGATGTAAAAGCAGAGTGTAGCTAAAAATAAAAACAACGCTAAAAGTTGTTTTTAAGAAGACAAACGTGAATCAAGTATATAAAAACAGGAAAACGGTTGTTTCACACTGCGATTAAAGCTTCGAGCTGTTTTTACGTTTCTGAGTTTCACGTGTTCAGTTACTGACAAATAAAGTTTACCTCATCAGGTCACGATTAGCCTAGCTTAGCATAAAGACTGAAAACAGCCGAAGTAAAAGCTCGCACGAGTAAAATAAATAAAAGAAATCGCACCAATTTTCACAGTTTACACAACAGTTTATAAAAAAGTATCTCTAACTTCTGAAGGTGTCTCTTTTCGTCTGCAGCTACGATGTGGTCTTCGCCTCGGGTCCCAAAGAGCTGCTCAGGAAGTTCCAGCAGGCCCAGCACCGGGTGGTGTTCTCCTCCGAGAGCCTGATCTGGCCCGACAGACACCTGGAGGACAAACACCCCCACGTCAGGGAGGGGAACCGCTTCCTGGGCTCAGGAGGTGGGCCACATGCAGCTTTAAGAGTCATTTAAACGTGGAGGGCCTCCACACTGTTCACTGCTAACAAATACAGGGCTGTGCAAAAGTCTTCATCCATCCGTTGTTTTCCTTCAAAGCAGCCAGAGTTTCCTGGAAGTCTTTGAGGGAACCGCTGCTCAGAACAATGGACCTTCTTTGGTAGATGTTCACGTCAGCTATAAAAACAGGACCGTAAAAATACTGTGGGCCCTTCAGTTTTTATAAACCTTTAAAACATAACGTCACATGGACGTCTCCATGTTGTTTACGCTGCAATGCATTCTGGGTAAATGACAGACAGGTTGCTCCGGCCTGAGCTCCGTGCAGCTTGAAGGTTGATTTTAGACGAAGGCCTTTAATTTGAAATGGAGCGCGATGACGGAGGAGAAGGAAGACATGACTCAGCTGAAAACGGTGAAGAGGAGGGAGTGGCACAGAAGAGCTGCTGCAGAGAGCTCCGCCCAGTTCACGACAAACATCCAACATGCTCACAGATGGATCAGAGCAGTTATACATCCATCCATCATCCATCCAACATGCTCACAGATGGATCAGAGCAGTTATACATCCATCCATCATCCATCCAACATGTTCACAGATGGATCAGAGCAGTTACACATCCGTCCATCATCCATCCAACATCCATCCATCATCCATCCAACATGCTCACAAATGGATCAGAGCAGTTACACATCCATCCATCATCCATCCAACATGTTCACAGATGGATCAGAGCAGTTACACATCCATCCATCATCCATCCAACATGTTCACAGATGGATCAGAGCAGTTACACATCCGTCCATCATCCATCCAACATGTTCACAGATGGATCAGAGCAGTTACACATCCATCCATCATCCATCCAACATCCATCCATCATCCATCCAACATGCTCACAAATGGATCAGAGCAGTTACACATCCATCCATCATCCTTCCAACATGTTCACAGATGGATCAGAGCAGTTACACATCCATCCATCATCCATCCAACATGCTCACAGATGGATCAGAGCAGTTACACATCCATCCATCATCCATCCAACATCCATCCATCATCCATCCAACATGCTCACAAATGGATCAGAGCAGTTACACATCCATCCATCATCCTTCCAACATCCATCCATCATCCATCCAACACGTTCACAGATGAATCAGAGAAGTTATCCATCCATCATCCATCCAACATCCATCCATCCCTCTATCCATCATTCATCCATACATCCATCATTCATTCATCCATTGTCCATCATCCATCCATCCCTCTATCCATCATTCATCCATACATCCATCATTCATCCATCCATCATCTGCTGCTTGTCAGGGGGTTCTGGTTCCAATGTAAAGTTGAACTTGGTTCCACCTGGACCACAGAGCAACAACACTCAGCACCTGCACACACACATTAATTACCAGTAGTACACACACCTGACAGCAGTCCGGTGCCACCCTGTGGATGGATGATGTACAGCAGTGATTTGTGGGCGGGGCCTCAGCTTTAGCCTGTTAGCTTTAGCATTAGCTCCAGAACTAAACATCACAAGTTGATCACGTTTGATTAGACCCACATATCGTGTATAACGGCACGAGAACTCATTTAACTTTTTATCAACTTAACTTTTTAGCCTTGACTCCTTGTGCTTTAGTCTGGACTGCATCCTGTTTATGTCATCGCCCAGAATGCATTGCACCGCTAAAATGATTTTGACGTCCTTAGGCGAACATGTAATAAACATCTGCAATTTTTTAAAAGTAATGAGGCACGTTCACGTGTCAAATGTATCAAGTGTTATGCTGCTGATGTGGTTGTTAGCGTTGCTTCAGTCAGATCAATCAGAATCAATAAATCATAAATGTGCCGATGGACAAACAGAGTTCGATTCCTGATTCTGCCGCTCTGTTTTGTCAGGCTTCATCGGCTATCTTCCTAACGTCAAAGAGATGATTTCTAACTGGACGGGAGGAGACGGAGACAGCGATCAGCTTTTCTTCACGAAGATCTACATCGATCCAGCCAGAAGGGTCAGATCTGCTGCTCAGTCGTGACCCTACAACATGTCTGCACACGTGGAGGTTCACTTCCTGTTTGGAAGAGACGAGGCAGCTGGTCAGGGAATGGGTGTGCGCACGCTGCACTCTGGGGGATTTGTGAGCAAACCGCAGGTCCTACAGCAGGGGGAGAAGTCTGGGTGAACAGAGAAACATGCTGATGTTAGATGTATAATTTGTACGTGTACTAAAATAGCTGTGGACGTAAGAGGAGTTTTGAGCAAGAGGCGTCATTACTGAGGTCAACATTTTGTGGTCAGTTCTGTAAAAGTCCTAGAACTTAACTTGTAGTTGTGTAAAACTGTTAAAGACCTGAAAACAGAACTTTCTGAGCCCTGATTGATGGTTCTGCTGCGAAGTAGATCCAAACAGGACCCGGTTTTGCTGCTCGCTTCCAGTAAATCCACCGGGACGTTGTTTCATCAACACCAGATCTCTTTGCTCCCGATCGAGCTGCGTGTTTTGATGCTAACTTTGTTTTTATCTGTGGGAGGGCTAGCTTTGAAGGAGGACGATAAACCCACAGAACCGTAATAAAGGTGCTCCACTGCTCCTTGTGGAAACCTTAATTAGCTCCTTTAAATCTAGAAACAGCTGCTGCTAACGAGCGCCAGCACTTCCTGAACACGTTTTATTTTTAAAACCCGTTTCTCTGAGGCTTTTAATTTGAAACACGTGAAGATAAAGAAATCTTGTTGTTGACTTCCTGCAGTGCTTATCCTCAAATTATTATTTTTTTAAATCTATTTACAGAAATCCATCAACATCACCCTGGACAGTAAGTGCAGGCTGTTCCAGAACCTTCACGGAGCCCTCGGTGAGTCCACTAAAGTTTATTTATTTATTTTATCCGGCACGGTGCAGTTCTCTTCAGACAGAAGCACCTTTCTGACGGTCTTAATTTATTGATCATAAATCTCCCCGACACTTCGTTAAAAACATAACGAGCATTCTGCTCAATTATTTATAAACGTGTAGAACTCGTTCTGAGTTCTTTTAAGTGAGAGTTCGGCTATTTTAATTTTATTTATTTTTTTAAAGAACTGGAGAAAATTCATTTTTTGCTAAAATACAACAAGAGCTGAAGGACTGTTGAAATTAGCTAAAGTAGCTGAAACTGGGTTGTTTAAGCTGAAAGAAGCAAAACACTAGTTGAAAGCGTTTAGCCAAAGCCTAGCTAAAACGTGAAAGTAAAACAGTGGTAAAATACCAAAAATTGTAAACTGCTAGCCAAAAGTAGCCAGAAGCTAGCTAAAAACTCTAAGTAGTAAAATGGCAGCTAAAGCTAAAAGAAGCACAAAGGCTAGCTATAAGCTAAATTTTATGGTACAAAGTAGAATAAAAAACATGAACCTATTGCTTGAGAACATGTTTTTTTTTAAATTAAATACAACACGAGCAGCGTCCAGTTGTTGGAGCTGAACCCGTTTGTGTTTCCAGATGAGGTGGTTCTGAAGTTTGAGGACGGACGAGTTCGAGCCAGAAACATTCAGTACGACACGCTGCCGGTCCTCGTCCACGGGAATGGACCGACAAAGGTGCAATTATCAACCTCCATGTTTGTCTGTCTGTTAGCAAAATATCTCATTAACCACTGGATGGTTTAATGAAATGCTCTGGATGTACATCCAAACAGATAATCTCATTCAATATGGCCGCCACAGCTAACTAACAATAACAAGAAAAAATGGACTAAAATGTCAGTTTTATAGATATTAAACTACAAATTGGTGTGGTAGTAGCTGAGAGTCATCCTCAACACATGCTCTAACTGTTCACAATAATGATTGGACTTAACCTGTTTGTCTGTTAGCAAAATATCTCATGAGCCACTTCACAGATTTTAGAACCCCTCAAACTGACTCCAGAAATGTCATAATGCTAAGCAACAGACGATGCTAAAACCGAGTCGTTAAAGCCAAAAGTGAAAAGCTAAAAGTCGTAAAGTAGTGGCTAAAAGCTAAAAGTCTCAAATGGTTTGCTAAAAGTAACAGAAGGCTATCAAGAAGCTAAAAAGTAGCATAATGGTCAGCCCAATGTAACAGAAGCCTGGCAAAAGGCTAAAAGTAGCATAAAATCTGCTAAAAAAAATAAGTAGCAAAAAGATAACTAAAAGTTAAAAGCAGCAAAAATAGCAGAAATCTAGCTAGAAGCTAAAAGAGGTAAAATGCTACCTAAATCTAGCAAAAGCATAGCTAAAAGTATCAGAAAGCTAATCAGAGGTTAAAAGTAGCAAAATGCTCGGAGAACACCAAAGTTCATGCTCAATAATCCAGGTACAAATCCAACAATGTTCAGTCAGGTCATCTGGATGGTTCTGGACGGGAGTTGATGGGGGAGGCAGCAGGCCCTGGAGGCCATCTTATCACCAGCAAATTTGTTTGGTGGCTCCTCAGGTTGAAGAAGTCCTTTGGATGAAGGACAGAATGTCTCAGCAAAAAGAAGCCGTCCAGATGACCTGACTGAACGTTGATGCTCAGAGGTTAGCTGAGAGTAACAGAAGCCAGGCCAAAGGCTAAAAGTAGCATAAAACCCATTAAAAGCTAAAAGCAGCAAAAGGTCAGCTAAAAGTCTGAATGAAAGAAGTTTTTCGTAGTATTTGCTCTTAAAGGAACTGTTTACTGAGGTCTCTGCAGGAACTCTGATCGGCTGTTCAGATGTTCCACTTTATCTAAATGTTTTCGTGTTGTCGGAGACGTTCGTTCCTCCTGCAGGACGATGTGTTTGCACCGACTCTCTGAACGTGTAAACGTTTACTTTGACGGCCGACGTTTGTTTTCCAGCTGCAGATTAACTACCTGGGAAACTACATCCCCAACACGTGGACCTTTGAGGCCGGATGCACGGTGTGCCAGGAGAACCTGCGTCCCCTCTCGGCTCTGAAGGTCCGTTCCCGTCTCATTCAGGAAAAGGTTCAGCGCAGCCGTCCGTGGATGGCGGGGAACTCCCCCTCCTGGTCGTCGTTTCAAAACCTGTCTTTATTTTCTACAGGAGGCCGAGTACCCGCTGGTGGTGATCGGCGTCTTCATCCAGCAGCCCACGCCGTTCGTCTCGGTGTTCTTTGAGCGTCTTCTGAAGCTCCAGTACCCCAAGGACAGACTCAAACTCTTCATCTACAACCAGGTGACGTTTCTACGACGTCCTGACGCGATGCGTGTTCACGAGAACGTCACAACGACTCGGCGAGCGCGCCGCACTCTGGACATTTTAGTTCTTCACCCTGTTGGAGTCACGCACTCTTCTGTCTGCTGGAATGTAACGGAGACTTTCAGCAGCTTGGAGTTTGTCCAGTTCTCCCCCACACACCCACCCCCCCCCCCCCCCCCCCACCTTAAACCACGTCTGACTAACAGCTTCCAAAGATTCAGACGTCAGAGGAACGAGTTAAAGTTTTTATGCTGCTGCGCTCCGTCCACCCGCAGCTTCCAGCCTCTGACCTCAGTGTCAAACTGGAGCAAGTACTACTACTGCAGCTACAACTACAGTACTTTTACAAGTACTGCCATTAGTAATAGTATTTTACAACACTTACTGTAGGAGAGGAAGTGGTAGTTAGTAGATGTAGTACTATTAGTATACTGGTAGTAATAGTGGAAGTACTAATAGTACTAGAACTAGGAAATTACTAGTACTAGCATATAAAAGTAGGACTAGTAGTACTAACACAAATACTGCTAGTAACATTACTACTACTATTAGTACAAGTACTATACTTTTTCAAGTGCTAATAGTACCCAACTACTACCCAATGTGTACTGGTAAGAGTACAACCAGTACTATTTTAGTAATAGTTCTACTATTTATACTTGTGTATATATACATATATATATATATATATATATATATTTATATTTATTTATTTTTTTTTTTTTTTTTTGGATATAACTGGGACCCTGAGTACACAATTTTATTCCACCTCATGTACCTCATGTGATGTGAATGACAAAAGTCTCCTTTAACCTTGAACCTATTACTAGTATTGTTGTATTAGAAGTACTAATAGTACTTCTAGTAGTACTACCAGTAATGCTAGTAGTACTAGTATTGGTAATATTATTATAATAATTATATAATTATTAATACTCAAAGTACTATGCTAGTACTAGTGGCACTATTACTTTAGTACTACTAGTAGCAATACTATTACTACTAGTATTGTTACTATACTAGTAGTAGAAGTGCTAGTAATAATATTAATGTTAATGAACTAACTAGTAGTTCTTTTACTCATACTACTAAAGCTGCTAGTAGTATGAATACTGTTACTTCTAGTACTAGTACTACTAGTACTCATACTACTATAACTACTACTACTTGTACTACCTGTTCTATTAGTAGTGAGATAAGATAAGGTAGAACACTATTATTTTATTACAACTAGTGGCACTATTACTATAGTATTACTGGTAGCAATATTATTACTACTAGTACTGTTACTGTACTAGTAGTAGAATTACTACTAATAATAGTAATGTTACTGAACTAAAAATATTAATACTCATACTAATAGTACTGCTAGTACTATGAGTACTACTACTACTAGTACTACTATAACTCTACTACTACTTGTGCGAGCTGTTCTATTAGTAGTACTGTTACTTTATTAGTACTAGTGGTACTCTTACTATGCTTCCAGCAGAGGTATGTTGCGTTTCATGTACATGAATGTTTTGAGTTGATCTGCAGACTTTCTGAGGAGCTTTGGTTTGTTCCGCTGCAGGAACCTCACCACGAGCAGCAGGTCAGCTCCTTCCTGCAGGACCACGGTGGACTCTATCGGGACGTTAAAACCATCAGTCCCGAGGAGGAGACGGACTCCACCGCCGCCCGGGACCTCGCTTTGTGAGTTTCATTACGTCTCAGGCTGACACTCAAGTTTGCTTTCCCATGTTACAAGTTGCACAAAACACGTAACGAACAAGTTGTACAAAACACGTAACAAACATGTACAAAACACGTAAAGAACATGTTGTACAAAACACGTAATGAACATGTACAAAACACGTAACGAACAAGTTGTACAAAACACGTAATGAAC